ATTATTTATAATAAAAATATAATATATACGATACATATATATTTACAAACAATGTTATTTACATACATACCAAAGCATCTATAGTTTCTATAACACCATTAGTTTTAACCTTTAATTTTAAATTTTCCAATGGCAAAGATTCAGGATTCTGTTAAATAAATAAAAATGTTATACATATTTTGTTAAGTAAATAAGAATATTATATTTATAAATCATTGTTCTAACCTAACCTAATGAACAATTGCTTTTACAATTGAACATTATGAATAATAATGAATAAATTACCTCGTAAGAGTCCATATTTTCGTACGATATATTTCCTGTCATAAATACTATTAATATTATAAATACTATAATTATTAAACAGTTGCAATTACAATAAGTTATTTTTTTTAACAAGTTACAATCGTAACAATGCACGCGGTTAGTACGATTGTCTTTTCGTCAAGTAACCTATCTTTAGTAAACCTTTCAGTTGAATATCGCAAAAAAATTAAAATATCGGAAAATCTCAGAAAATGAACGTTATGTTTTTGTTATGAATTAGTATTACTAAATCTATCCTATCAATTATTTAACACTATTTAAAACTTCTTTGTCTTGAGGTTATGTTTTGACTATTTGTATGCTCTAGTGCTCTTTTATATCTCTTTTGACAAATTTAATAATTTAAAATTTTATATTATAAAATATATGTTAAAATGTCTACTGATGAAAAAAATATTAAAAAATCGAATAAACCGAAAATTATAAGTATTGTAAAAGTGGATAAACCTATTAAATTAATGAAATTAAATGAAAAATCTGGTAATAATGAAAATAAAAATACGAACGTTGATTATAATCACGTTCCCTTGAACGATGCTAGTAACATTCAAAATATTAAAGAAAATTTTAAGGAAGTTGATATGCCCAAAACTTCTATTAAATCTTTAAGTGATAATATAATAATTTCAACTACTTCTATTGAACAAAATGAAAATAAAAACAAAACACTTAAATCAGAGAAATATGAGAAAACTAAAGAAGCTAATATTTCAAAAAAAAATTGCATGAAAAGTACAAAAGAAAAAGAAAATAAAACGACAATTGATAAAAAAAGAGTTAAGAGTGTAACTATAAAATCTCCAAATTTAGATATTTTGAAACATAAAAATAAACTTTATTCTTCTGGTACTAATACAAAGAAGCTAAATGCTACGAATAAAAAATCTGTTTCAGTTACAACTAAAAAAAATTCAAAACCTATTGTTGGTGTTATGCCATGTTATAAATATAAAAAAGTTGAATCTAATATTAAAACTCCTGTTAAAAAAACTGTAATAAGAGATATAATTGGTTCCAAAATAAAACCTTCTATTAATCCAGGAATAGATAAGATACCAGATAATTTAAAATTTTTAGAAATTGATGAAAACATTGTAAAACCACTTATTTCTGGAAAAGAATTAGCAAAACCAGAATATAATTCAATTATGTCTACAATTAGTAAATTAAATGAATTAAAAAAACAAAAAGTTATACCTGATATTGAACATTTACCAGCTTCATATAAAAATCTTATAAGTGGAAAGGTAGTGAAAAAAATAATAGCTTACAATTATAATAAGAATTATTCTCTTATATTTTCTATTCTAGGTTTCTACTGCTTTAGATTTTCCCCTTGATGAAGTAATTTATAAAAATTTAGTGGATTTATCTATAGATGAAAATCAATTGCCAAGTAGATTAACTCGTAGTAAAGATCCAGAACCAAGGCAAAAAGATATTGTGCCAATACTTTCTGATTTTTTTACACCTACATCTATTGATGAATATTGTACTCCTGTTTCTGTAAAACCACGATCTTCAGAAACTATTGATTATTGGAATGCTTTTAGAATAAGTGATCAAATATATGAATGGAAACATACTTTAAATCATATATAATTAGATTAATTTTTACACCTACATCTATTGATGAATATTGTACTCCTGTTTCTGTAAAATCACGATCTTCAGAAATTATTGATTATTGGAATGCTTTTAGAATAAGTGATCAAATATATGAATGGAAACATACTTTAAATCATGTATAATTAGATTAATTATGCTTTTATTTGTTTTATGTATAACTTATTTATTAATTACTACTTGGAAAACACTCATTTTAATAGATATATTTTTTTGTAAAATGTAAAGTATTTTTCATAATTCATATCAATGAATAAGATAATAATAGACATTTTGTAGAATATATATGTTAAAATTTAAATGTGATATACACAAATGAATATATACAATAAATTATTTAATATACCTACATATATATGTTTCATATGTCTTTTTATATGATTATAACATTTCATTTTACAATTTTCATGAAGCACCAAAAATATCATTATTATACGATGTATAATAATATTATATATGATATATAAAATGAAAAAATAATAAAAAATTCATGATATACTTAGATTGTAGATTCTCTGATAAGAATTACTGTCCTCTAATTATATTGATAAAAACTAATATGAATTTACACTTTCATACGTGACAGTAACATTTACAATATTTTTTTTCATGATTTTCTTATTTATTCAATGATTCATAAATTTAATGATTGAAACAGATGAATATAATAAATGCAATTTATCTACCAAAAGGATTTAAGTTTTTGTTATAATCATCATCGTCATCATTAAATGGATTTGTATCGTCGTTATCTTTAAAAGGATTAGTGTCATCATCTTTGTCTTCGGAAAACGGATTTTTTGATTCGTCATAATCATCTGTTCCAAATGGATTGGATGGCACAATTGGTGTTTTCGGTGGTATGTAAGATTTCTGAATTGGTGATGATTTTGGTGTTGTACTATTTAAAATGCGAGCTTCTCGTATAGGTATTGGAGAAGCTTTTCTTGAATTTGCTCGTGGGGTAGATATGTCACTGGCCGTACCAGAGATATTTGCTTCTAAGGATGAAGAATAAAGATCTGATTTTGGAAATGATCGCAATCGATCATCCGTTACTGTAGAAAAATTATCATAAGGACGACGAATTTCAGTTTTTCCTAAAATAATATTTAATTTATATTAAAACTATTATATTATATTAAATACTATTTTATAATATATATAATAGTATAGTATAATAATATAAATACTATTTTGTATATATTTTACAAATATAAAATAATATAATTTTTTAGTTTAGTAAAATTTTATTTACCTAATGTTGTGGTTTTACCTTCTGTTAATCTGATTCTAGCTTCTGCACCTGGTCCATAATTCAATTTTGATTCCTCAAATGTAGACAATGATTTATCATTATCAGTGATCACCATTAATTTTTTAAAGACTCCGCGACCGAAATAGTCAGCAACTAATGAAAATGGATCTTCTGCTCGATCTAATAGACTATGAAATGTTTCGTGAAGATCTTTCGATTGTTCTTGCGCTTTTATAATATCCAACAATTTTTTATTATTTGGTAAACAAGCTGGGCATTCATTTTCGTTTTCCGAAAAACTTTGAAAACAACTATAATGAAAATAAAATAAAGATATATTAGAATGCTTAAATATTATTATATTTAACATTCTATACTTACTGTTGATGATATGAATGCTGACACATAAAATGTACCGAGGGAAGTTCTAATTGATGATGACAAGCACTACAACGTGATCCTTGAAAGATTATAGTACTACTTTTAATTGATTCTATTTGTTCTCGAATTTTTTGAGTATCTGTTCGATATTTTTCAGTCAATTCCATATCTGCTTGAGTTTGTTTATGTTCTGTTAATAATACGCTATTTAAATAAGTTCTTATATCTCCCAAGGTACAGGAAAGTGAAGTAGAAATTGCATCAATAACCATCAATGGTGATAATAATCTTTCTTGGGCTGTATATAATTTTTTTTAAAAAAAATATGATATATTATATGATATATTATACACGATTAAAACAATTGAATTTTACATATACCTATGTATGCTAATATATCTGCGAGAAGCTTAGCTGGTGCTTCTTTACTTCTTGCAACACTCCACAAAGCTTGAACCCATAAATTTGGATCTTGATGTCCAAACCGTTTGCACGTAGCTAAGATTTGCTCGTTATCTCCTTCACGTAAATGAAATCGTAATATTTCCTGATATCTATGTATAATATAATATATAAATCATAAAATAAAATTTCGAATTGTAACATAGATTATATAAATTATTTCAACTTACAATTTATTTTCTTCGTAAAGAAAAAGTAAACCGCGTTTGAAATTATGTTGATAGCATAAAATTAATATTTGATCTTTATCATAACAGGCTTCCGAATTTTGTAAAAGTCGAACAATTTTTTGTTCATATTGTACTTTTGTCACATCATCATTCAAAGCCGACCATACATGGAGATAATGCTCTACTAATGTATTGTACACTAAAGTACTCCATCTATGTATTAAAAAAATATGTAATTTAGAATAGACAAAGTCGATTTTTTCTTTTAATATCTGAATTAATATACTAACTTGCTATGAGTTTTCACTAGATGTTCTAAGAATTCTACAAGACGTTCTGAATTATTTAAAAACAAATGAATAAAATCTTCTGGATTAGCTTTATCAATATCTTGACATATGTTACCATACAATGTTTCCTGAATCAAATAAATTATTAGAAATAGTTAGTAGTCTTTATTATATTTATATTATTAGTCTATATTATTGATCTATTTTCTTGATCATTTAATTTTACCTGATCTACAAGTGGTTTATTGGAAGGCCTATAATTAGTACATAAAGCTTTTAAAAATTGAGTTGATTCATCTGGTACATTTTCTATGAGAATATTACCATATTTTTTCATGTTAGATTCTGCCTAAAAAATTGATTAAAATTAATAAAACGAATTAAATTTTTTATATCATGAAACGCACTTCTTCAAATTCTAATGTTGCTATATATTCTAATGCCTTCTTATATTCCTGTTTATCTTCTATTTGAATACGTAGATAACATTCATGACGACCATGTTTTTGCGCAAGTAATAAGGCATCTTCCGGTGATGCTTGGCGACAAACTTTTATTGCAATTTCAACATCAAAATCAACCTCCCTATCTTTTGTCTAGAAATATAATACAATATATAATAAGATAATCGTTTCAAGATTAATATTATATTCAAATCGATAATTATTTACCATAATAAATTCTTTTAATTTATCTGTATGATTAAGTTTCGTGTAACAATTTAATAATAAAGTGGTATGATCTTCTGTTGCTTGTCCATTTTTATGTAAAGCTTGTAAGTAAGTTGTTAGATTATCTATATGTTGAGAATCTAAAAATTTTCTAATTACATACGATGGTTCTAATTTTCCAATAGTTTTAATATATTGTTCTATTGCTCCATTATGATCTCCTTTTGAATATAAGTGATCGCCATATTGTCGAAATATATCAACAAGTCCTTCAGCATCATATTGTTGATTTTTAGCTATTCTAAATATTGAAATTGTAATCTTGAATTATTATTGAAATAATATTTTTTATAATTTTTTATAATTTTAATTATAATATAATTATTAATAAGTTTAATTATAATATAATTTTAATAAAAAATGTTTTCTATAAATTTGATTAAACATTTCATTGCCTTATAGATACCTTATAGATACATCATATAAATTTTTTTTGAAAAGTAATGCTAATTTCGATTGCAAATCTTTTTCATCCAAGTTATAAAGTTTATTGTCACCACTGAGTATAAAAAATCCACCCCATTCTGATAGAACAGCTTGTACAGACAACATTGATGCAGAAAATACAATAAATTTATTTTGTATATCGAGAACTGTGATCATATGTTTATCTACACCTGGAGGTATTGGTTCTATAGTACTACAAATAAATACAATAGTTTGAGAATTAATTCCTATTTAAAATATTATATAAAAATTATATAAAAATTATAAACATGTGAAATATTCTTGCCTTGGTTTCGCAGAAATGGTAGTTGTTGTTCTTGGAACATTAGCAGCTTCTTTTGCTATAATAACTAGATAACTTCTGAACCATTCTAACATAATTTTTTGACCCTCTACTGCATAACAAGGACCTCTACCATCTGGTGTGTAACAATAAATTGCCTAATAAAATAAAATAAAATTATTAATAAGAGAATATTTTTTATATCCTATATTTTATAATGAAATTTTTTAAATATTATTACATCATTACGACCAATCATGAAATGACTATCTTGCATGGATTCTGCAAGAACACTACATTTTCTAGCGCAACCCATAGTGTCTAAGGGGGATTTAAATTCTTTATCCTTAACAGTAATATTATATAAAAAAACACTATTTGTTGTGGCAACAAATAAATGATTTTGTTTGCCACTAGATCTTATTGCTAAACCAGTAATGGAAACATTGGTAACTTTTAAAACTTTTATCTTGTTTCTTCTTTCTCTAGTTAAATCACCCCTAAGAATCAAAAACTATATATTAAAAATTATTAGAAAATTAAAAGAAAATAAAAAAAAATTGGTATTATTTTATAAATTTACCTATAAAGCATAATAGAACCATCTCCAAAACCAACAGCCATTAATGTAAGACTAGTATGCACACACAAAGCAGTTGCAGGAACTCCTCTGTAACTTGGTATAGCTCTACTTATACGGACACACGTTGGATTTCCTTGTTTATCTGGTTTAGCTAAGTTCCATACCTTTATAGTAGGATTACAACCTGGTTCATCTTCCTATATAAGTACACTTTTTAATAACAAATATCTTTATAATAAATCTGTAATAGTAACAAAATAATACTAACACCAATGGTAAATAGAAAAGTGGAATGTTGAACTTGCTGAGCTAATGTTAATGTAAGATCATAAGCGCGAAATGTGATAACATCGTAAGTCCTATTGACTAAATGCACATTGCCTGTATTATCTCCGAACACTAAAGTTCCATTACCGCTCGTAGCTGCTGTTACTTGAGCATCCTGATTAACAAAACATCGAGCACGATATCTTAACCTATATTCGAAAGTAATGTCGGAAAAAATTGCATTTGAATTGAAAATAACTCACACCAAGTGCCGTGGCTACTTTTCCACCGTCAACTTCTTTTTTAAGATCGAAGAAATTGAAGCGTCTCCACTGAAAAATAATTGATTTTTTGTTTTGAACTACAGAGAGTGAGGTTAAGTATAAATCACAGAAAAAAATATTATACAAAATATCTCAATAGATTATTAAATGAACCTCGAGAAATGCCATGTTGTACTACAATTATCTATTTACACATCTGAAGCAAAATTTTATTGATATAGTAAACGAAAATCTATGGATAGAAGCTATTTCTTTTGACAGTTATCTGACACCGAGAGTAGTCAGCTGCATGCCAGCCATCTTTTCATCTGATTTAATCAGCTGATTATGACATATTTTATACGCACGCGCAATATAAACTCCATATACCTTCTACTATATCGATTGATAATCGTATATTGATTGGTCGTAATTTCTCAGAGATGTCGCTCTAATATAATTCAGAATCATACGCCATCTATATAAACTTTTCAAGTACTAAATTCAATTTTTATAGCGTGATTTAAAATTTTTTCTTATTTATTATTTTCATTCGTTCATTATTATTTGTTATTATCATT